TCTATTCCAGGAAGTTGCATTTTGAGATAGTTCTTTTTCATTCTTGATGTTAAACTAAGTTCACATGTAAGAAATGAAAAACGAGTCTACTTTCACTAAAGAAATTTTGAAATGGATATCAACCTTAAAATAAGGTTCTATATTTTAGAAAATAAATTCCTTCTGACCATAGTCTCTTAAAACTTACTTCTCTAGAATATAAGAATAGATTTCTAAATTGTTTAAGAATAAATAGTAAGAGTTAGAAATACATTACTCAATACTTCTGTAGATTTCCAGCTTTTGATGTAGAGACTTCTTCAAAATCACGTGCGTTCACCTTCTACAGTCGTTGATGAGTTCTTCTAGCTGGACCACTATAATCATTTCTTCTTTTATCATCTTTCTTCTTTCTGCCGCAATCTTCATAAGAGTCTTTGAATGTTGTGCAAAGACACGACCATCTTCATGACTTCTTGAGTTTTCATTCTAACATCATCAAATTTCAATCTTTGAACAGATGCTGATCTTCACTAGATGCGGATATCATCATGATTATCAAACTAAGACATATTTCTTAGAGGGTTGAATGATAATCTTGTTCTTACTGGCCGAGCCTTTTCAGAATCAGTTCATCAGAAAGTGATAACTTCTGCCTTTTCTTTCTTAGGGAGTGAATAAACTGTGATGGTTTTTGATTGAGCATCTTCTGATTTCTTCAAAAACTTCTTAAGCAGCTCCATTACCTTTATAATTCTAAATAGGTAATTTCCGGATTTGCAATCTTCCAATAAGCTATGGTTTATGGTTTCCAAGCTTATCATCAAATCTGCCATTGATTTAATTTTTGATGAAGGTACTTCAGTAGCCTTTGGATATTCAGAGCGATCTAACCAATATACATCAGAATAGATCATATTCTGTTCTAAATAATCATGCTAGATGCTTCCTAGAAGCTTTGTCATGATGATCTTATGTATCATGATTTAAGCCATTTCTTTTTCAAGCTTGTTCTATCTTCAACCATCTGCATCTGATAGTGAAGAACTAGAATATCAAAATCTTCTTTTCACCAGATAGCTTCTTAAGCTCATTCTTTCACTCAGTTACATGAGTTCAGAAAGTAGTGAACACAGAGGATACATTCATGTATCAGGAACTTCTAAAAAGAAATTTTGGATAACATTCTAACAAACTTAAGCTTGTTTAACTGAGATGCTTTTCTCAAGCTAACAAAACTTAATTTGTCTTATGCTTCATCCAATTCTCTTCATACTGCAATAATCAGAAATTCATAAATTTCTCTTTCTTGAATGCACTTCTGACAATTTAAGGACTTTCCTTCTGATCACTTCAGTATCTAGCGAAGTTTCTAGAGCAGGTAATCAGAATCCTGATAGCCATATCCAATGCTTATCTGTAGTCATGATTTAAAATCTTGATGATGAGATTTCTAACATCTTAAGCATACTTCATCTTGAAGTTTCCATGCTACAAAATCATGACATAAGCATTCTCTCTTCTTTACATGAAAGAGTTCCTAATGAGCAATACTAATAAAGTCAACAGTATACCAAGCCTGATTTTGAAAACATCCCATACTCAGAAAGAATTAACTTTCAGCAAACAAGATTTCTTGCTTTATTGATCTCTTCAAGATCATTCCTTTTAAGCCTTGTCTAGGCATCACCTTGAGAAGATACGTAGCTCTCAACTAACATATTTCAAGAATAGCATTCATCAAATTCTTCTAATTATCTGATGAGTCTATTATCCTTTTACCAGCTGATTCTTCATCTTGCTTTTAATCTTCTTGCAAGTTCCATAAGAGAAGATTATACTATTAATAAAAAAACAACTCTAAGACTCAGTGACACAATCCAGAATAAACCTTTCTAGTTTGTCATTTCAGTACTCAATCTTTTCATTATCGTATGAGACTGAAATTGTAGATGGTGGAGAAGATTAACCGGAGCATTTCTCAAAGGTCGTCCAGATCTTTATCTGACACAGTTAAGTGTTTGATAAACATCAATAACATAACAGGAGCTCTGATACCTATTGAAGATTGAGAAACAAAAGAAATGGGGATTTGAATTGAGTTTCACATTTTGTCCCCTTTTGTGGAATTAGAAAGATAAATCAAACAATGACAATAAAGATAAATGATATAATTATTTTTATCCTAGTTCACTGTTAATGAAGTTACTCCAGTCCACCCACCAAGGTGATTTTTCCTTAACACAAAGACTTAATCCAATAATCATCAACTATTACAACCACAATGGATACCTTCCATTGCCTTCTTGAGAATCCTAGCTTTCACTAGCCTCTCAAGGAATCAAACTCCAAGCTGTTAGAAATGACCTGGCTTTCTCAATCATTCTGGTCTTCACTCGATCGCTCAAGGAACATCATTCACTAAGTTGTTAGAAACATGCTTAGTCATCTCAAGCATTCTGGCTTCACTCGACCGCTCAAGGAACAACACCTTTTATAAGGGATTTTCTTGTGCACTAATATGCTTCTTACAAGCTGATTACACAAATGAAGTACATGAACACCTAAGTGTTTCTAAGCAAGATATGAGAAACAACTCATTGCTTTATAATACAGAAAACTATCTAAAGAATGAATCTATGAGAGATTATAATACATTAGTTCTGTATCGCTTAAAAGCTTTCTTGATGAGCACTACAACTTCTTTTCATGAGCCTTAAGCTTCTTTTGATGAACTCCTTTCTTGAGCAGGTAATGCTTCTTTCCAGCTTAACCATCAAGATCAACTAAGTTATTATGCTTCACTTATTGATGTTTCACTTGACTAGTTTCACATGGCTTTCACATGTTGCATCGTTGTACACACATTCAACAGTTTTCTTCAGCTTCTTATTCATTGAGCATTCTTCATTTAAGCTTCAACTTGTAACATTTTCTTCAGCACTTTGGCTTTGTATGGCATCGTGCTATCGCTAGCAATCCGTTGTTAGCAATCAATAACAAAACCTACAATTCTTCAAGCTTCTTGATCTTTAATATATAGAGTTTGAGAGAATAGATCCATTGAGGGGTATTCTTGAAAACATATTCCAACAACAATATCCAAACATTCACATGAAGGAATGGTCAACATCACTGTACAAAAAGCTACTCTTATGCCACCTTTTCGAGGTAGATTTCACAGAGTTTTAGTACTATTATATTTAGCTTAAAACCATTCTTATCTTCAGTCTTCTAGCATCTTTAGAGGCTTCAGATATTAACTTGATGAAGTGTGTTGTAGAAGAGTCATTCGTTGTGTAATCTTCAGAACCACAGTCTTCAGAATCTCAGATCTTCGTTCAGTAGAACCTAGTCATAGGAATCTTCAGCACTTGGTTTCTTAGAAGCATTATCTTCAGATTCTTCAGAGCCTGTTCTATCAGAACCTCATCTTCAAAGTATTCAGATTTCACTAAGCACATCCTTTGTCTTTAGAGTCTTTAGCACTTCGTTCAATCAGAACCTTGTCTTCAGAAACTCTTCAGAACTTGATCTTTATAAATGATGTCTTCAGAATCTTCAGAGCTTTGTTCACCAGAACCATGTCTTCAGAATCTTCAGAGCTATAACAATAGAAAGCATATTTCTTATAAAGCCTTCTTAACTTACTTATAAAGTATCAATCATAAACCTCATTACTAACATTCCTTAGAACCGTTGTATTAGAAGTATTTCTGAATCTTGACTTTATCTTGTACACATATATATTTTCTTCCAGAGTGTTGATAACAAAGTCTGATGATGTCACACGTCTTCTTTTTGGAGTCATAATCATTTTGACAACAGTCACACACTAGAAAGAAACCATATCATACATAATTGTTCTCTTAGATGACATGTGCAGTTATCAAGAAAACTCAAAGGCCAGATGTAAAACCAAATCATGTTCTTACACAAGTTTGGGGAGATTGAATATAGAAAATAACATATTAACCGGTGATATACCATCTTCCCTTGGTAATCTTAAAAAGCTTCAATTCTTGTAAGTACATGACGAGTCCTTGCAAGTTGCATGTACTATTTTGTGTAATGTTTAAGAATGTCTAATTTTGTTTCTGCAACTAGGACATTAAGTCAGAACCATCTCAAAAGGACTATTTCAGATCACTTAGCAGCCTCCCAAACTTGATACCAAACTTGATTAATATGTAAGTAGACTACTCTTTGTCACCTTTTGTTATTTTACTTCTTAGTATATTTCACCGTCATTTGAACATATGAAGGATTGTTCAAACTTTTCTTAACTATATGTACCAAATGTTTTAGTGGTTGTATGTGAATATTGTATCATGAAAAATATTGGTTATCATAGTTTCTGCTGTAGTAGATTCTGAACTATCTTTTTACATGATATAATGGTAATCTGTAGTAGATTCCAACTTAATTTTGTTTCAGAAGTTTTAGTTTTTCTTCAACTCCTTGTTTATCTCATTTCTCAATGTTACAAAATTTAAAGTTACAAGTTTTCGGTGGATGTTACGAACTTTTTAAACATAGTTATAAAATTTTGAAAACTAATTACAAGTTTAGATTCTGCATGCTACTTTTCTTCATGAAGGCGGTATTTGTGTTAAAACAGTTTCGGTGGTGTATTTGGTTCTTTTGTGGCCAACATAAACTTTTGTTTGGAATCATAATGCCACAACCATGGAATTAGTGGATAGATATTTGGTGTTGAGATCCAAAATAGTGTAGTGGATTCTTAACTATATGTACCAGATATTTGAGTGGTTGTATGTGAATATTGTATCATGAACATATTGGTTATCGTAGTTTCTGCTGTAGTAGATTCTGAACTATATTTTTACTGTAGTAGATGCCAACTTAATTTTGTTTCGGAAGCTTTAGTTTTTCTTCAATTCCTTGTTTATCTCATTTCTCTATGTTACAAACTTTAAAGTTACAGTTTTCGGTGGATGTTACAAACTTTTTAGACATAGTTATAAAAATTTGAAAACTAATTACAAGTTTAGATTCTGATGTCATCCTTCTTAATTTATACACATGCTACTTTTCTTCATGAAAGCGGTATTTGTGTTAAAACAATCTATAACATTGGGGTGTGTGTTAGAGGAATAGGAAAAGATGAAATCTCAAATGACTATTATGGCATCATTACAAAGATTCTAGAATTTGAATGGCCAAGTCAAATAACAAAAAAGTTGGTTTTATTTTACTGTGATTGGTGTGACCCTTCAAGACACAGGATACGAATACATCGTCAGTACAAGATTGTAGAAGTTTGTAAGGGGATAAAATATAGTAAATTCAATCCTTTTATTTTTCCAAAAGTAACTCGAGTTTATTATTCACCTTATCCCGGGCGTCTAAGAGATAAGGTTGATTGGTTGGTAGCTATAAAGACAAAACCAAGAGGAGTTATTGATGATAGGCACACATTAGAGGTTACTTTTCAAGTTCAAGAGTCACAAGTTAATGCAACAATTGAAGATGACCCAATTGATCACCTACAAGATGATGAAGAGGTTAGTTTGTTAATGATACAAGAAAATGAAGATAAAGAAGATTCCAATGATGACATTGAAGATGAAGATGAAGATTAATAGAAAGATTAATAGAGGGGGATGACTTTTTGAGAGTCTATTATAAAAGAAAAAAGGGATGTTGCCAGGGACGGATCTAGAAAATTTTGCTAGTGGGGGCAATATTATTCTATTATAATAATACGATAAATATTTTAAAAAAACGCAATTAAAATCTTAACCATTCAAATATTGAAATGACAACATTATTATTTGACCGATATAAGAGATACTAATAAAATTATGTGTTATTAATGTACATTTTACAAATGTTATTATGAGATTCAAAAATTATATGGCTAATCTGTTATTAATACTACAAACTTATATTAAAATATAAAAAACTATATTAAATTATCTTATAAATAAAATATAATTTAACAATAGTCATATCTAAAATAAATTTTTCTAAACTTAAAGGTACAACAAAATCAAAATTTATTTAATCAAATATATTTAATTTTTATTTAAATTAAAATACACCCAATATACTATTATTTATTTAATATAAATAACAAATATCAAATAAAAATTTAAATAAGAACATGAAGAGGGGAAGAAACTCCTCTCATTTTATGATATGTGTATTTATTTAGTGGGGGCAGAACACTATTTTAATTAGCACATAAGCTATCATGTCATATAGTAATTTATACCAAAGTTAAAAACTAGTGGGAGCAACTGTCCCCAATCACAATGCTTTGGATCCGTCCCTGGATGTTGCAAGGAATACAAACAAATCTTAGTCGGTTAGTTTTCTATTATAAGTTAGACGCTAGTTTTATTAGTTTTCTATTACAAGTTAGACACGAGTTTTATAACATTTAATTTGTTGTATCATGTTGTTTAGTATTTAATGTTTTTGTTGACCATCTTCCACTAAATGTGGTTCTTGTAGTTGTTTGACCAAATACTAAAACAAGAACATCCTTAGGCAACTGCCATAATTAACATAATAACATTGTTTCTTTATATTTATTTGCTAACTTAAATATTTTCTGTATCATCTTCATCAACCAAAATTATTTAGAACTTCAATTGCATTAATATGTCGATTTGAAGGAAAGGATAAACTATGAATCAAATATCAATATGATAAAAAATTAACACAAATTAACATTATGTAAACACTGACGTAGTGCAAAGGGAGTAGAAATGGTTGACATCAATCCACCATCATGTTTTTGGTTTGAGAATTTAAAAAAGAAAAGAAAATTTGTGCACCTTGAATTGAATATGATGATTAGATAAAACAAACAGCTAATAATCGAAGCTTAGCAAAATAAAATAATTTCTGATACGGTCCCTTTTATGCAATCTTTCACCAAAACCTGCACAATTGGAATGTATGTTTGTTAATTACGCATGGAATATTGCAGATCTTGTTTTTGTCACCAAGGAAATTTCCTTGTACAAGCATTTATGGATTTAAATAGAGGAAATAATTTTTAATTTGAAACGAGGTGTGTCTATTATATTCAATCAAATTTTAGAGTATGAGGAATATCTTTAAATCATGGAATCCCTACTGTGAATATTTCCTCTGTTGTTATAGGAACCAACATAAAATAGCAAAGTAGAAGTAATAGAAAATGTATGAGATATCTTGCAAAATATAAGAACAATTAATTAAAAAACAATAATAGATTCACTATGCCAAAACAGACCTTTAGCAGCGCTTTTTTTGACCTTTAGCAGCGCTGCTAAAGGTAAAGGCAGCGCTTTTTTTGTGGAAAAAGCGCTGCTAAAGACATCACCTTTAGCAGCGCTTTTTTACCCCTTTAGCAGTGTTTTTTTAGCGCTGCGTAATCTCCCCCCCTTTAGCAGCGCTTTATTAAAGCGCTGTCTTAGACCCCCCTATAGCAGCGCTTTATGGAAGCGCTGTCTTAGACCCCTCTTTCCCCACCTATAGCAGCGCTTTTTTAGCAGTTTCTTTGTCCCCTTTAGCAGCGCTTATACATAAAAGCGTTGTCTAATGTGCACGTTTTGAAAAAAAAAATTTCCTGATTAATGACATTTTTTATATATTTTTCAATAAACCTGCTTATATTACAATACCTGCTTATATAATTTAGCCCTTTATTTCAGCACTTTGGCTTTATATACACAATTCAACACTTTGGCATTATGTGCACAATTCAACACTTTGGCATTATATGCACAATTCAACATCACAAATTATATACAATTCCACTTTAATATATATAATTCAAAAGCTTCACAATTCAACATCACAAATTGTATACAATTCCACTTTAATATATATAATTCAAAAGCTTCACAATTCAACATCACAAATTATATACAATTCTCAACTCGAAATTCAACATCACAAATTATACAATTCTACTTTAATTTCTTCCAATCTTCATTGCTGGCCATAATATACCTGTAATTCAGGAAAACTAAAGTATCAAATGAATGACATTCAAATATGTAAATAAGAAATATATATATATATATATATATATATATATATATATATATATATATATATATATATATATATATATATATATATATATATATATATATATATATATATATATATATATATATATATATATATATATATATACACACACACACACATAAGAAACGTATAAATAAGAAATAATATGTTATTTTATTGAATGAGACAATATGTAATTTTACAAGTACCTTTAACATCTTTTTCTTTTTTTAGTTCGAAGGTGCTTTACTTGTCTCTTAACAACACGGACGGATGGATTGATCCAAATTCCCTCGCTATGATCATTTCTAATATATGATTTGTCTGCTATAATATTCTCATCTGGATCATCCCTAACATAAGATTCATTCTCAACATCAACCTCCCCCTTTTCTCCAATGTTATCGTTGATTACTTTGTTGGAAAAAAGAACTATAGACCATTTCGTACTTTTCGGATCAGTGACATAGAACACTTGTTTAGCTTGCGTGGCTAGAATAAAAGGCTCATCTTTGTACCCCACCTTATTAAGATCCACTTGCAAAAAACCTGACTTATCCATACGTATGCCACTATTACTTTCAACCCACTTGCATCCAAAGATAGGAATCTGAAACTTCTCATAATCAAACACCCAAATGCGCTCGATTACCCCAAAATACGAGGAAATGTGCATTGATTCGGCAAGCACAGTGACACCACTATTTTGCATTGTACTTTTATCATCTTGCTCCTTGGTATAAAATGTGTATCCATTAATTGCGTATGCGCTATAAGAAAACACATGCAAAGTTGGACCATATGCTAAACATCTCAACCTTTCTGTTATTGAAGCGGGATCAGAATAAAACTTTGAATAAATATGCTCTTTGAACCATGTTATAAAACTTCGATTGTGCTCACGTACTATCCAATTTTCATTTCTATTCAGATTTAAACCTCGGAGAACGTCCTTGTGCAATTTAACGTACTGCTCAACCTCAATGTCATTGTGCAGAACATATAAATGCACTTGCTCCCGTTCATCCCTTGAAACTGTCACAACTTTATTTCCAATTAACTGTTTACCTACTACTTTTTCAACAACATCAGATTTTGGGAGGCCAATGGATTGAACGTTGGACAAATATTCAGTACAAAACTCAATAGCTTCTTCAACAATGTATCGTTCAACAATACATCCCTCTGGTCGACTTCGGTTTTTCACATACCCTTTCAATATTTTCATATAACGTTCAACTGGATACATCCATCTCATATATGCAGGTCCACACAGTTGTGTCTCTTTCACGAGATGCACAACTAGATGTACCATTATGTCAAAGAATGACGGAGGAAAATACATTTCAAGCTCACACAAAGTAATAATTATATCTTTTTGCAATGTTGGTAAGATCGCAGGATCGATCACCTTACTACAAATAGATCTGAAAAAGAAACACAATTTTGTTATTGCGCCTCTCACTTTTTCTGGCAAAATAGAACGTATACCTATTGGTAGAAAGTGTTCCATAAGAACATGGCAATCATGTGTCTTTAAACTCTTTAACTTTAGGTCTTTCATAGAAACAAGTCTTCTAATATCTGAAGAGTATCCTTCTGGAACTTTAACTTCACTAAGAAACTTACACATTATCTTTTTCTCCTTTCTAGACAAAGTATATGCAGCAGGTGGTAGATAAGTGCGATTTCCTTTCTTCTGGGGTCCTAATTCATTTCTTATTCCCATTGCTACCAAGTCTTTTCTTGCTTTAAGGCCATCCTTAGACTTTCCTTGTATATTGAGTAACGTACCAATAACACTTTCAAATACATTTTTTTCAATATGCATAACATCAAGAAAATGTCGTACATACAACGACTTCCAATACGGCAACTCAAACAAAATTGACCTCTTCTTCCACCCACGCGTGGTAAGCGTATGAGCAAAAGGCTTGCCAAACTGAGTACTCACATCTTTCACCTTTGCAAAAATTTGATCGCCGATCAATGTAGGTGGTGCTCTACGTTGTTCTGAATTTCCATTGAATTCTTGTCTCCAAGAAAGACATTCTTCTGACCAAATTCCAACCGCGTCCAATCTGTGTTTTCTTCACAGATAGGACACGCACATTGACCTTTAATGCTATACCCCGATAGATTTCCGTATGCTGGGAAATCATTAATTGTGCCAAACAACATGGCCCTCAAATTAAAACTTTCTTTCCTATATCCATCATAAACCTCCACACCGTTCTCCCACAAACTTTTTAAGTCTTCGATTAAAGGTGTCAGGTATACGTCTATGTCGTTTCCTGGTTGTTTAGGGCCAGAAATTAACATAGATAACATCATGTACTTACACTTCATACATAGCCATGGAGGTAGGTTATAAATCATAAGAATTACAGGCCAGGTGGAATGGGAGATACTTTGCAGACCGTGCGGATTCATTCCATCAGTCGATAATGCCAAGCGAAGGTTTCTAGCTTCTTCTCCAAAATCAGGATAATCATTATCAATTTTCATCCACTGTGGTGAATCTGCCGGATGTCGATACTTCCCATCTATAATTCTATCATCTGCATGC